GGGCAGTCTTGTTAATCTTCATGATTTTCCTGTATAAATCATTGGTTGTTATGATAAAATAGTTCAGTTAAATAAAACATATAGAAGTGACACACAGTGATGTGTGTAGTGTAACAAAGTTTATAGGATTTACAGAAAGTGTGCAATTGTGGTTTAAACAAAATTAGGCAGGCGCATAAATTTGGACACTGTTGTCATTTTATTGCTTTTCAAAATCTTTAGAACAAATTATTGGAACTCAAAATCGGTTTGGTAAGCTTAGTGACCCTTGACCTCCTTACTCAGGTGAATCCAGTTGTGAGAAAGAGGATTTAAGAGGGCTGATTGTAAGTTTCCCTCCTCTCTGAAGAGCAGCAGCACGAGGGACTCAGAACAACTCTCACGTGAGCTGAAAACAAAGATGGTTCACCATCGTGGTTTAGGGGAAGGAAACAGGAAGCTGTCTCAGAGATTTCAGCTGTCTGTTTCCACAGTTAGGAACATGTTGAGGAAGTGGAAGACCACCGGTACAGTTCAAGTTAAGGCTCCAAGTGGCAGACCAAGAAACATCTCAGACGAACAGCAGCGAAGAATGGTGATGTTGTATGGATTTCTTAGGTGTGTTCTTGCTGTGTCATGGTTCTAATTCCATGCTTTCGTTCTTTTTGTATGGATTGCTAATGTATGGAATTAAGTCTGGATTATGTCTCTCATTGTGTGAAATCAATTCTAGGCTCCCCAAGGTGTATCCGCGTGTGTGTGTGTGTGTGTGTGTGTCCCTACAGCCTTGCCTCTTATCACCCCTGAAGTCGTGAATTGCTAGTTGCCTTCACCGAGCTGTTTCGGTCTCATGGTTCTGTGGAAACCCTTTTGACCTCCAGAGAAGTGGAGGAGGCAAGGAGGTTCATTCTGGAGAAAGTCCAGGTGCACCAGCTAACAGTTTATCCAAACAAGACATAGACTTTTATAATCGATAAAATTGCTCCCCCTGACAAGCAAGGAGGGGCAACGTTGGGCTAATGTCAACAGCATGCAGTGAAGAGGGAGGGGGGAGAAGGAAGGAGTTAAATAGGATGGGGAGAGAAGGTTCAAGAGCACGTGGCTGGAAACTTGTTACGTTTTTTGATCGTGTGTGTGGCCCGCTGCGTCGGGATCTTCATTTTTTCACCTGTATTTGGAATAAAATCTGTTTCTCGATGCGAGGAACGCAAACGAGCTCTACGCCTCTAGGGGTCTCCTCTGTGACCAGCAATCCACCCAACAGGTGAGGTGCTGGTTAAACTTATCCCATCCTCAGGTTAGAAATGATATCAGATGCTAAATACCACCCTTTGCTACGGTTGAATTAGCTGTTCCTTCAGCACAAAGGTAACAGTTTATTACAGTGTGTTGTTGCGTGCACGTCCCATTTGCCGGTTCCGTTAAAACCCAGTTCCGTTAGAACTTATGAGACTGTGCATCTATCAGGGTTCGGTGGGGATGTCGGTGAGTATTATCGTACTAGACCCTGGTCTGGACTTCCTAAGTAAGAATCATATCTTCTATTTTAAAGGTGAAATGATATGCAAGACTTTCCTTTTGTAGTAGCCCACTTCTTTTTAAGCAATCCCGTTATCTTTGGTTTAGATACTAGGGACGAAGCCCGGCGGGAGGCCGGCCCGGCTGGCAATTCTTTGGGTTATTTGGATTAATTGTGCCCCTATCAGCTTATGTGGGTGGTTGGTAACTATAAAATGATTCTTGTTAGTTGATCAGGCTAACATAGATTTATCAATTTATTTAATTAATCCAACCTTCCAGCGCTGATAGAGACTTTTTCAACTTGCGAATCAGAGCCAAAATTAACCACTAATGTTCTGGTTTTATCATCCTTAAGACAACTCGTTACTCGCGGGTGAGGGAGGAGGCAAGCTCCTCTTATCTTAAGGTTTCTTTATATTAATCTGTCACAAACCGTAAAGTAAGTCCTGATAATTCAGGAACCCATAATTAATATGCTTACCTCTTTGCAATTAATGGTCAGGGCCCCAACCGTGAAGCTTTAGAGAAAACCTGAAAGAATCAGGATTATGTTTCTTTTTCAAAAAAGTTTATTACAAAATCAAAAAATACAAAATTGAGTAAATATAAAAAAACAACCGCTTCCCCCAAGGAGGAATTAGCTCTAATGATTAACTAAGAAATAAAGAGTTGATTTACACCAACTCGGTCTTCTGAGAATCGCCCCAAACTTCTCAAAATCTCGTCTAGCTCTGCTTCTCTCCAAAAAAACTGACCTGTCGTCCTCCGTCCTCCGTCTGGATGGAGGACGACCTCCCCAAATCTGCTCTGTCTCTTCTTGTCGTATGCCCCAGCTGCTTGTCGAATCTCCCCAGCTCTCTCAGAGCTACTCTTTTATACCCTTCCTGGGCCAGCTTAGGCAAGGTAAAAGGCACATATCATTACCTCATGACAGAGAGGTCATGGGGTCATTTACCAGACACACACTTTTTTGCTCAACACAAGACATTTGGTATCATTTTCACTACATACAGCATTCTTCTTAGCACAGGTCATTACATGCAGCACTCTACATGAGAGCACAGGTCATAAATCTTCATGTTTGTAGCAAATTGTAGGTCTTCCTTCAGCATTCCTGGGAGGACTTCTGGGTTCAAACGGGCTGTCTTCACTCTGCTCCAATCCTTCTTTTCCCGCCAGAGGTGGATCCAGGGGTGGGGCCAGGGGTGGAACCAGGGGTGGAACCAGAGAAGCCAGCCTGCCTCTTGACCTTTTGCCTAGTTCTGTCCCTGACAGCAAGTTCTGAACTCTTGTACTTTTGACCCTCCTGTGACCCTTGTTTCTGACCACTGTTTCTGAGTCTTGACCCGCTGGAACTTGCTACAGTGTACCTGATGGCATTCAATGAGCCAGTAGGAATAGAGAGGGGGTTGGAGTATATCTGAAGTCTTCCTTTGTGTCTGCTTGAACTAATTTTGGTCAGAATTAGAAGCCCTGCATGGGTAATGTGGTGATTGCTAATCAACTCTCTACAGAGTAAGGGTGTTTGTTGGTAACTAGATGCCATGCTCACTACACCGATTACAAGTCAAACCCTGAGATATTAGTAAAATCTAGAAGAGGGGAGCTAGCTCGGTAAATTGGCTTGTAACAGGTGAGAACAATCAGAGTCACCCACAGACCAGCAACAAAGGCCTACAACATCATGTTGCTGCAGACGGAGTCACTGTGCATCGTTCAGCTATTCAGCGCACTTTACACAAGGAGATGCTGCATGTGAGAGTGATGCAGAGGAAGCCTTTTCTCCACCCACAGCACAAACAGCTGCTTGAGGTTTGCTGAAGCACATCTGGACAAGCCAGCTTCATTCTGGAATTCGGTGCTGTGGACTGATGAAACTTAAACTGAGTTATTTGGGCAGAACAAGGAGCGTTATGCATGGAGGAAAAAGAACACAGCATTCCAAGAAAAACACCTGCTCCCTACAGTAAAGCATGGTGGTGGTTGCATCATGCTGTGGGCTGTGTGGCCAGTGCAGGGACTGGGAATCTGGTTAAAGCTGAGGGACGCATGGATTCCACTCAATATCAGCAGATTCTGGAGACCATTGTCCAGGAATCAGTGGCAAAGCTGAAGCTGCACCGGGGCTGGATCTTACAAGACAACCACCCTAAACACTGATAAACATCTACAGAGGCCTTCATGCAGAGGAACAAGTAGAACGTTCTGGAACGGCCATCTCAGTCACCAGACCTGAGTATTATTGAAAATCTGTGGTGTGAGTTAGAGAGAGCTGTCCATGCTCAGAAGCATCAAACCTGAATGAACTAGAGATGTTTTGTAAAGAAGAATGGTCCAACGTACCTTCAACCAGAATCCAGACTCTCACTGGAAACTGTAGGAGGCATTTAGAGTTATTTCTGCAAAAGGAGGATCTACTAAATATTGAGTTCATTTATTTTTGTGGTGCCCACATTTATGCACCTAATTTTGTTTAAAGAGCAAGTCAACCCCTACCAGATTCTAACTCCACTCCCACTTCATGTTTGAAAAATGCAATAAATGCTGTTGCCTGGCAGACCGAGAGGGCGGAGCTGCTAACAAATACACACACACACACACACACACACACACACACACAGGCTCACCACAGCATTGTGACATCATAATGTACCAGTTTACATCATAGCATACCTCTTAGCCAATAGCGGTGGCAGATTTAAATTAGAATACAGTGCAGAGTTTTTACCTGACAATGGCACAACACTGACAGTTTTAGGCAGAATATTTAAATTTGAACTAAGATGCACTGAAGTGACAAATTATTGACTACATGTGTCTGCAGGACGATTAGACACTCGTTTATTTAGTTTATCAGCAAAAAAAAGTTTATTTGGGGGTGACTTGCTCTTTAAACAATTATTGCACCCATTCTGTAAATCCAATAAACATGATCTCACTTCTCAAATATTGCTGGGTGTGTCTCCTAAATGAAATATTTAACTGAAATTTTTATTGTTGTATGTCAGTGGTAACAACCAACGATTTAGAAAGGAAAATCCTGAAGATTGACAAGGCCATTGGAGAGCGTCACGGCCATATTGGGTGGGTTCCTCACTCTCCGAACTCAGCTGGAGTCAGTCAACACAGAGTAAGCATCTATGCCCGTTTATTTGAAGCCTATGATTGCAACAACCAGCGTACTATTGAAACCCGATCACGAGGGATTTCTGTTGACTTTTTTAGCCTACCTTTAGGGATTTTATATTTTAATTTATTTTATTTCATTATATTTATATTTTCATTATCATGCCATACCGTATGTATGATTTTGTGCTAAGCATAATTGAATGTGTTTGTTTAGTTGGGTAAACAACTTTAACCATAGAAATGATGAACGTACTGGGAGCGAATGGAGACCCATCCAAGATGGCGGCACGCTGCTACGCCAGCTCCATTAGAAAGCGCGTCTACGATGATGATGTCTATTGTAAAGGGGAAAGGCGGATTTGTGTCGTTTGGCTCCGCGCGCTAGCCGTAGTTTGTTGTCATCAATGCGGAAGTGTCACAGGCTACATCGCTAACTAGAATAACTGCTTTTATTGCAAATACGGACACTAATGCTAGCTTTATAGCTGAGGGGTACAGATAGCCTTGTAGTCTGACGCTTGGCAGCGTTTTTATGATGTTTTAGCGTTCCCGCTTATCCAACTAGCGTCATGTTAGTATTATCAGAGAAGTTCATCCTGCTTTAAAGTGTCCGCCACAATGAAAGTACGCTCGTCGATTTTCGCTTCTTTTATTTTAGTATTTGAGGTGCTCGGCGTTGCCCTGTTCCTGCGGGGATTCTTTCCGGTTCCTGTCAAGTCTGCTTTGCCATCTAAGAGCCGGCTGTCGGATCTGCCAGCGGAGCCGCAGACAGGTGAGCTCACCGGTCACTGTTCTCCTTCACCCTCTTCTCTACCATGACCTGTTAAAACGTCTTCCTACATCTCAGGAGGCTCTCCCAACTCGACCCGCCTGCCTCAGCCCCTGTTCAGTAGAGTTGTTGTCATGTTAGTGGACGCCCTCCGAGAGGACTTTGTGTTTGGAGCCAGTGGTCACCTGTACATGCCCTACACCAGACACCTGGTGGATAGAGGCTCGTCGCACAGCTTCGTGGCTAAAGCACGACCTCCAACAGTCACCATGCCCAGGATCAAGGTAATCAGGAGTACCTGAGAACTCCCATCAGTCCTTATCTTATCACATCTCCCTGTTCTGGATCAGGGATTCTGCCACAGTGATGTGAGATTAGTTACCACAAGCTCTTGTTTGGAGTTGGTGGTTGTAGGTGTTTTGGTGCATTATTCTTCCACACAAGTCAAAGCTGAGATGGAAAAGGTTATTTTTTCTCCTAAGAATGAGACGATTAGAAATCTCGTCTTGGAATATGCCCGTGGCGTCAGGGATGATGGAATAACCTGGTCATTCAGTATATTCAGGTAGGGATGCACCCACATGAAAATTCTTGGCTGAAACACCAAAAGAAATTTCCTCAATAATTTGAACTATAACTAGAAGGACTATAAAATAACCCTTTAAGCACCAACGTCGCACTATTGCATCTAACAAGCCACAGATGCAAATATAATCCCTCAGAAAGTTATTACTTTACACCAGAAGAGAGTGGACACGCATTGCACCCGTTGGGGTTAAATAACTTGCTGTGTCAGCAGAAAAATGATCACCCGTGCAGTAATGATCCAATAGGACATTCATAGCTATTAGTTGCATCCAAGTGGAGACGTTGCTCTTTGCCGGGCAGTAGCAGTTAGATGGATATGAATATTGGTTTTTGATCTCACTAGCTTTAAGACATTTTATCAATTAAAATGATGATTTGGTAATACTGTGTGAAACCGTAATGTTGTCTAAAACTACCAATAAAGCCACAATCCCATCGTGGACCAATTTCTTTTTGCAGTTTGGCCTCCCAGAGCCGTGCTCAGAGAGTTCATATAGAAACTTTGCAAATTCAACCCCCCCCCCCCCCCCCCCACCACCACCACTGCTGCTGCACTTTCTGCTACCCCGTGTGGTATTTTCCCCTCCAATCATCCTCTGCCTTCAGGCTGACCTCAAAGCCAAGTGGTAAAGGTGGCAGGCAGACCCAGCATCATTAGTGAGTTCTCAGTTTGACCAAAGACTGGACTGTTCTGCTCTTTCCCCATTTGCTGTTTTTCTTTAGGGAAGCATATCTGAAAACCTGGAAAATGAACATTCCTTTTGCTTTTACTGATTGCATCCGGATCTCAGTGTTCTGAATCTATTTCACTTTAATTAATGTGAAACAAGTTTAATATTGGAACTGTGCAGCAAAACGACTACATCATGACTCCATGAGTCGATACTGTCCCTTAGGTGTAAAAATGTTGGTCAAAACGATCAACCTAACTGGGATTTTACCTGAGACAGCAGTAATTCAGGTTCAATTCAAGTTTATCTATAAAGCCCCAAATCACGACAAGAGTCGTCTCAAGGGACTTCACATAATAAACATTCCAATTCAGGTCAGTTCATTAAGCCAATCAGAAATAATGTTTCCTATATAAGGAACCCAGCAAATTGCATCAAGTCACTGACTAGTGTCAGTGACTATACAGCAACAGACTTTACTAAGCAAGCATGTAGCGACAGTGGAGAGAAAAACTCCCTTTTAACAGGAAGAAACCTCCAGAGAATCCTGGCTCAGTATAAGCAGCCATCCTCCACGACTCACTGGGGATGGAGAAGACAGAGCACGCACACACACGCACGCACGCATGCACACACACACACACACACACGCACGCACGCACACACACACACACACACGCACGCACGCACACACACACACACACACACACACACACACACACACGCACGCACGCACGCACGCACGCACGCACGCACACACACACACACACACCAAGTAGTGTTCCTATGGTTACATTGTGATTTCTTAGTAAATATTCTGTTTGGTGAGAGATAAACTTTATTGTATTTATCCTAGTGAATCTATAATTAAACGGGTAAACTAGTAGTAGCACATCCACCGTCAAGGAAAGCAAAAAGTTATTATCAGGAGAGGGAGAATGTTTAAGTGGTTAGCAGCAGTGTGCTAGATGATGGCCCCCTCCATGAGGCCACCACAACTCAGCAGAACATCATTGTAGCTTCTTCTGGGGAGAAAAACACTTAGAGAAAAAATAAAGTTAACAGCTGAAATAGCAGGAAATAAAACAGTTAAAGAGCAGATTGTAGAAGAAAGCAGTAGAGTGTGGAAAGTGGTCAGTGTGTCCTCCAGCAGTCTAAGCCTATAGCAGCATAACTACAGAGATAACTCTGGATAACCTAGCCTTTTAGATGTAGGCATGTTGGAGGCAGGGCAAGGGAGAGTCGTCTTTACCGACTGTAGACTCCACCTCCCTCTACTCCCCCACTTGTCCAGATTTAGGCTAACATCAGATTTTAACCACAGGCCCTATCAAATAAAAATGTTTTAAGCCTATTCTTAAATGTAGACAAGGTGTCTGCCTCACGGACTGAAGCTGGCTGGTTCCGCAAGAGAGAAGCCTGATAACTAAAAGATCTGCCTCCCATCCTATTTTTAGATAGTACAAATCTTCTCTAACCTCTGAGGAAACGTTACTATCTGAGCTGAACAGTTATGGTTTTAATTTCTCATATTTTATTTTACAGTGCATTAAAAATACTGTTTGGTTTGCTTTGCATTATAATCTGTATGAACGCCAACATAGATTGTACCTGATGTTAGTAATTATCGCCTGCCTTTTACCTTTTGGTGACGGGTGATAATTTTTTTGCCTGAGTCTCTGTGTGCGTGGCTGAAACATCTCACTTATCACCGGACAGATTTTAAAGAGAACATCAGAGAGTTGGATGTACTAACTTTTCTAACTTTTGGAATAAACCTGGTAGGAGATACCTGCCGCAGCTAACAGATCTTAGCAAAAAAAAAACTCAGTCTAGATACTCAACTGAAACATGGCGCGGGTGTCACCAAGACTCCTCCCCAACACATACACTTGAGTGCTAAACATTGCACGACATTATTGCTTAAAACATTAAAGGAGTGGTTCACTTGTTAAATCAATACATTTGCAGTAGTCTGTAGTAGGAATTAATGCCTTATGTGTCATACTCTGGGGAGAAAAATATACCGGTGCACCGCGTCTCAGACCTAAAATGTACCCACATCACAGCTGAGCCTCAGACCACAGTTCAGAGTCTTATATCCTGATATTTGGACATCTCGCCCCGGATTGGATAACAGTAACGCGCCTCTACCACCGACTTGGAACATGGGTTTCTTATCTCCAAAAATAACACAAGCCTGGAGGAGTTCTGCTGTGTGGTGGTTTTGCTAACGCTAACGGTTAGCTTAAACATTTTCTGCTTATTCCCAAACAAGGTGTGGTTGACTGAAAAAACATTTTTTAAATGTTATTTTAATTATAATCAGCCATTTTGAATGTTTCAAGTAGATTGAACATGTGAATAGTCTCCTACACCTATCTGCTGCATTAACGTCTGATAGAAAATAGATGGTGAAACTCTAGGATTTGAAAATCCTCACATCTACATCACACTAGCTGTTTTTACAGGACAATAGTGTGGGGCGGCCCTCCCACAGTGGTTTAGTGTCACAAAACCAAATAATAGATAAGGGTGAAACAAGAAAGGCAATCATCTCAGTGGCCATAAGGGCAATGTCTCAATCCAACCAAAATAAAATGGCAAGCATTAAAACAAGAAAACATTAAGCAAAGTAATACACACTCCGATCAGATGTGAAAGGCTCAGAGTTACACAGCACTAGGTGCTGCAATCATTCGTCAACACAAAAATCAGCAAAAAGAAAATCATAATAAGCACAAATAAAATGATAAATACAAATAAGGCAAACACAACTGCTTACAGCAGTACACCGAGATGTAAAATAGAATCAGCTCACTCAACACAGTTAAAAACTTAAAACCTATTCCAAACATATTTAGTGTGATGTGCAACTCGAAGACCTATGGCAGTTCCTGTAAGGAGACTGGGAAGTTGATGCTTTTTAAAAGAAACTAACTGTTGTTATTTCCCACAGTTTTAATGATAAACTAGATATATTTCTACAGATTAAATTAGTTTGCTAACAGTCAGTCAGTGAATGAGTTAGCTGTGATTGTGAATCGTGATTCACGAGTCACTAAAGTGATTCTCGAGTGTTGAACGATTTGTTCTTGACTCGCTTATCACTACTTCACACTGTCACTTAACATTCATGGACTCACCCATCTTGTCTCGCGACGGGGAAGGCCGTTGTTGGTTTAGCGTCCAGGAAACAACAGGGAACATCTTGGCTAGTAGAAGCTAACCGTTAGCATTAGCAACTCCTCCACATCAAAATATCACAACCCTGTTTTCACAGCACCTTTTACAGTGGTAGGTAGGTTTCTTTTTGCTTTTTGTTCTGATCAACACTGTACCTGTGTATGACAGGGGGGCAGTGGATCAGGGGTAAGCCGTTTGCCCTTTGACCGGGTGGTTGCTGGTTCAAACCCAGGTTCCATCTGCATCAGTCGTCGTTCTCTTGGATAAGCTGGTGGTGGTCAGAGGGACCGGTGGTGCTGATGGTGTGGCAGAAATGAAAAAAGGCTGTACCAATATGCAATATAAGTGTCTTTTGAAAAAAATGATCTTTGATTTGAAAATCCGAAGAGGCGTATGTTAGTACTTCAGTAAAGCAGAAACAGGTTACGCTTTAGGATCTGGATTAAATTACATAACAGTTCAGGCAGAACAGATGTGAATATTGTGAGTGAAAGAAACAAAAAACAGTATATTTTTACCACAGAGATTTCTGGTGATTATTACACATTTATGTGTTGCTATTCTTATTGATCTTCAATCAAACTTAAAAGATAAGTTCTATGTAGATGTAGAAGAGATTAATGTGGACTTGGAGTGGCAGATGACTTACAGATGCTTTCTTCAGGGGTATAGACGAAAGAGGTCAAAGAAGACCTCGGGTGTCTAAATACAGTTACAAATGTAAGTATTTTGTCATTAGTGTGTTTATCGTTACGAATCAGCGTTGCCTTTCAATTCACTTCAGTTTATTTATTCATCAAATCACATCAAGAGTGGTCTCAAGGCACTTTACGACGAAA